TGTCGGATCCCCTGGAACTGGAGTTATGGACAGTTGCTAGCTACCATGTGGGTGCTGGGATTCAAACCTGGGTTTTGGGCAAGAACAACCAGTGTTCTTAACCACTGGGCCATCTCTCCAGCCCCACTTCTTTTAATTTTTAAAATTACACTTTAATTTAGTCCTTCTATGTGTGTGAGAGAGCACACGTGCCAGCCACACGTGTGGAGGTCAGAGGACAACATGCAGGAGTAGGTTCTTTCCTGCCACCATGGGGGTCCCAGGGATCAAACTCAGGTCACCAAGGTCAGATTTGGTGGCAAATCATCTCTTGCTTTTCTCCTTCCTTCCTTCCTTCCTTCCTTTTTCCCTCCCTCCCTCCCTTCCTTTCCTCTCCTTTTCTCCCCTATCCTCCCTTTGTCTCTTCCCTTCTCTTTCTTTTCTTTGTCAGAGAGAGTCTCTCATAGCCCAGGCTGACCTCCACCTTCTATCTAGCTGAGGATGGCCTTGAACCCCAGATCCTCCTGCCTGCACCTCCCAAGTGCTGGGATCACAGGTTCAGGCTACCATGGCCAGCAGAGGAATCTTAAAGGCAAAAGGTAGTGCTCTTATTTGCCCAGACTGTTCCATTCCGTGTGGGGGAGCCCAGGAGTCAGGGTTCTCCAAAGGGGTCAGGGAATACCCTGGCCAGGTGGGGTTCTGACAAGGTGTGAGCAGAGGGAGAAGAATCCAGTTTCCTGCCAGTTCATGTAGTACCACTGGGTAGGTGCAACCTGCTGAGTGTTCCTGGGTATGGGTTGCCTGTCAAGCCCTCCAGACCACCCCTCTGAGGAGTCACTCCAGCTCCCCATTCCCTGCCTCTAATCCCCCTGCCCACCTTCCTCACCAGCCCTGTCTGAGCTCTGAGGCTGGCCCAGGCCCAGTGGGACATCCAAACAGGTCGCTCTTGAGGGGCATGATGGACTGGCTGGAGACAAAACCAGTTCAACAGCATCAAGCCTGCCTCTGGCCAGGGTCCCAGTCTATCTCTTCTCTGGGAATGGGAAACAGCCGGGGCCCAGTGAGGCAGAGGCCTGGGGCAAGGCCCCCTCCTGCTCCACGTCCAATCCCAGATGACAGATGCCAAGGAGCTGTTTGCTCATTGCCAGGAGTAAACTTCAGGAGACAATAAAATTGCTGGGGCAGAAGGTGGGGGGCGGGTGTGGGATGTCTTTAACCCTTGGTGGTCTGGTGCCCCATCTTGTCTCCCAGAAGACTGGCTTCAGAAGCTAAGGGTTATGGGCCACAAAGGTGCTGATCCATTCATAAAGCAGGAGGAAAGGAGGGGCAGGGAGAACCCTGTCCCTGGGGAGAGATGGGCTTGGGATCAATTCCCAGTTCTGCTAGTCATAACTGTGTGACTGAGCAAATCACTCAACCATTCTGAGCCTCTGATTTATCATGTGCAAAACAGAAAAATGGCTTCAACATTTTGTTGAGATGGTCATTGACCAAAAGACAGTAGAAATGCCTAACACTGACCCATCCTTGGGTCACATGATTCGGGCAAACTTGAGGGAAGAATGAGACCACTGCTTTCCCCAGGAGAATGGGAGAGTAGGGCTGGTCTCTCTACACATGTGCAGATAGGTGCCCAGCTCCTAGACCCTGGTGGCTCTCATACCCAGGCTCACAGCTTCACTGTTGAGCTTGCCAAAGTCTTCAGGAGGCAGGGGGTGCAAACACACCCACTTTACAAAGCTAGTGTCCCACAGAGAGACTGAAGTGCCCACGGTCTCCCACAGTCCACCATGTGGTCCAGCTCTCCAAGCAAAGTCAACAGCCTTGGACTCCTTGCAGGAGAACAAGACCCTAGCACACCCTGACACCAGGCCGTGCCCTGTAACAGCAGATTCAGAGGCTGCCTCCCCCTCTTCAGGCCTGTGTGCAAGTCCTCTTTGACCTGGCCCACCTCCCCTTTCAGTCATGCCAGGGTGAGGAGGATGCAGTGGCCAGTTAGCCAAGCCATCTTGGTCTGGAGAACTCCTTGTCTCTCCCATGGCATCTACCAAACATCTGCTCCTTTCCTCTTAGACTCGGCTGCATGCCACCTCCCTGGGCAAGCCTCCTTCGTGGTCACTGCCCTAAGCCTCTGTGACCACAACCACCCTAGACCACTGCTGGCCTCCAGGCTGTGCCAATACACGGCCAGACACTGAGGACCTGTCAGTTCTCTTGTATCTTTATTATCCATTCCTAGGACTTCCCTGGTTCCCTAACCTAGGGTTGCACACATTTCTTAGCACCATGCCTGGTATGGTGCAAGATGGGTGACAGGGGTTTGGAGCAGTGCAGCACTGCCCTGTGAGTGACCTTGGTTGGATCATGTCATGTCATAAGCACTGCTCTAGGAATTCCATATCCAAGCCTGGATGGGGTAGTCCTCTACTTGTGCACAGTCCTGGCTCCCTTGGTCCTCCAGGAAATTGTGTGCTTGATTAGTAAGGCCTGAAGAGACAGCATCCCTGCCCTGAGACCCAGAGAGCTCACTTGCATCCCTGGAGCAGTGACTGCCTCTCCCTGATCCTGGACTCTGGGATGCCAGCATCCAGCCCCCAGATAAGGGCTGTCTGGGGCAGGGTGCAGGCCTCTGGCCCTCTGCAGCCCTCAGACAGGGTGCACAAACTGGTAGACGAGGCGCTGGGAGATGTCAGGCTTGCGGATGATCCCCTTCTTGTAATACTGACGGATGGAGCGACTCAGCTTGTCATAATTCATGGCTGGCCGGTTCTTGCGCACGCCCCACAGCCGGGCTACCTGTGCAGAGTCCTCAATTTTGAAGATGCCTGGGAAAGCAGGAGGGGCCAGAAAGAGCCAGGGGTGTACAAGAGAGGCAGTCAGAAGAAGAGAGATGGAGTGGAGATCAACAGGTCAATTTGGGGAGCACAAAGAGAGGCTGGTGCTAGGGCCTCCTTTAACTTGCAGCAGGGGCCAGGGAATGGGAATTGCGATACTGGCTCTGTAGCTCTGGTGCTGGTTAAATAAATGTGTGTGCAGCATGTACCACAACCACAGACCTAGAACTTGCAGCAGTCCACGCCTGCCTCTGTCTCCTGAATGCTGGTCTACAGGTGTGAACTTTTTGTGTTTTATATTTTGAGACAGGATCTTCATATGTAGCCCAGGCTGGCCTTGAACTTTCAATCCTCCTGCCTCAGCCTCCAGAGTAGCTGGGATTACAGGTGTGTATCAACAATCTAGGCCTGGCAGGTGAATGAATAGACAGCAGAAAGAGTGGGTCTAAAGCAGGCGCCTGGGCTCTGGTCCTGGCCCTATCCTTTGCTATCTCTGGAACCTGTGCTGGTACCTGTTTGTCACAGGAGGTGCCAGTAACCATGTGGGAAGTTAAGCTTTACAGAAGGGGCCTGGAGTAGTAGAGTGGTTCACATCTGTAACAGCATTTGGGTGGTGGAAGCAGGGGGATTAAGGAGTTCAAGGCCAGCCTCAGCTACATAATGAATTTGAGGACAGCCTAAGCTATGTAAGACCCTGCTCAGGGGGACCCCCTCTAAAAAAAAAAAAAAAAAAAAAAAAAAAACAAGCAACAGCAACAAGAAAAACAAACTGAGATGACTTGGAAGTGCAAAACACACTAGATTTTTAAAACTTAGCAAACATATTTCAGTAATTTTTATATTTATTACTGGCTGAAAGTATACTAATTTGTCCATAGTTCTAGATCAACTACAGGTTAGCTAACCCTAATCTGAAAGGCTTGGACCAGAAGTATGTCTGATTTTGGAATATTTGATAGCTTTATTTTATGAGCATCTAACCCAGAAACTCTAATCTCTAGTCCAGATTTCATGGCAGAGCTCTCCAGGTTTTGCCATTAGGGAATACTTAGAAATTTGACACTAAGGATCAGTGAGCTAGCTATATTGTTAAAATGGAAATGCACCTGCTTTTAAATGTTTCAACTGTAGAACTAGGACATTTAATATTATACATGGGGTTTAGTACCTCTGAGGGACATCATGAGTCTCCAGGTGAAGCCATAATAATTTATTCATTTAGTGTGCGTACAAGGATCCCAGGGAACTCAAGTCCTTACGCTTGGCAGCAAGCGCCTTTAGCTCGCGTGGCTTGAAGCCATAACGTTTTGAGAACAAAGATTGAGTTCCATCCTCAGCAGACACTCTAAATCCCTACCATGTTCCAGGCACTGTGAGATGTTGTGGGAGTCCCCTACCCAGGATGGAGTCTGGTGGAGAGACTGAGGCCACAAACAGCTTTCTAAGCCCTCGGGCACGGAGCAAGGGGTGGAAATCCTTGAGTAGCAGGTTTGGAATGGAACAAAAGCGGAGTCAATATCCGCCCAGCTGGAATCCTCCCCATGCCCAGCCCCAACCAGAGCTTTGCCTACAGAAGGCCCTCCCCTCCCTGTCGAAGCCCTGCCCTGCCTTAGCGAAGGGCCACTCGGCCAAAGCCACGCCCCTCAGAAAGTAGCCCCGCCCTACCAAGCCCCGCCCTCAAGCCCCAGACAGCAGCCTGCCCTGTGGAAGCCCCGCCCCTCAAACAGAATCCCCGCCCCCTCTGGCTGCAGCCCCGTCCTACCAAACCACCCCAGACCTCAGCACAGCAGCCCGCCCTATGGAAGCCCCGCCCGCCAAAGCCCCGCCCCCAGACTGCAGCCGCATCGCTGGAAACCTCGCTCTGGAAAAGCCCCGCCCCTCTGACCGCAGCCCCAGCTCCCAGATAGCAGCCTGACCTGTGGAAGCCCCGCCCTCCCAAGAAGCCCCGCCCCAAGTCCACCCCTATAGAAGGCCCGCCCATGGCATACCTTTCTCCTTGTTGAGCCAGCGGATGAAGCGGCCGTAGCTGTGGGGCTTGAGCAGCAGCTCCTTGAGGAACTGCCACAGGTGGATGGGCTGCCCCGAGCACGACGAGTCCACCTCGCTGTCGGTCCAGCCCTCCTCGCTGCTGGAGGCTGGAGGCCGGGAGCACAGGGTGAATGGCTGCGGGGACACCCGCTTCCTGGCAGCCGCCCACCGCCCGCCCAGCCGCTCCCTGCCTACGCCCGGCTCACCGCAGTAGTGGATGGCTCCGGGCGAAGTTCTCTCCTTCATCCAGGCCGCTGTGGGCAAGGAGGGGAGGTTGAGGAGCCAGCCTAACGGGACTGTGGGCCCTGGGACGCTCTGCCTCCCACAGCTTGGGGCTGGAGAGATGGCCCAGTGGTTAAGAGCACTGGCTGCTCTTGCAGAGAACCTGGGTTGGAAACCCAGCACCCACATGGCAGCTAACAACTGCCCCTAACTCCAGGGGATCCGACGGCCTCTGCTGTCCTCCGCCGGCATTGCATGACATGGGTGGACTTACATACATGTAGGCAATACACTCATACACATGAGATAATAATAAAATATTATTTTAAAAAGATCACCCTCATCATAGGAGACGCTTTTTCAGAGCTGGGGCCATAGACAGCCTGCTCTGCCCCGTGGAGTGGGCCTGAGATGCCCCTCGCAGGTGCTGAGACCTGAGCCTTGCTCAGGGCTCGGCCATAGCCATTGCACCAGCCTTGCCCTCCAGGTTTCCACCTGGCCACTCCACTGCCCACCCCTAAGCCAACAGCCAGGAACAAAGTGCTCTGGTCATGCCGCATCCACTGGCCAGAGGCCTGGGCTGGAGTAGGCAGGGTCCTCACACAGAGTCAGTCACATAAGTGGGTCCTGTGCCCCCCATCATCCCAGGCCTTTAAGGACAGGGTTCAAATGCCCAAGAGACTTGAATGAGGAATGGTGATATTCTAATGCCATTTACATATTTCTATATTGTTTATTTTGTGTGTTTCTGTGTATGTAAGTGTGTGAGCACACATGTTCCATAACTCCTGTGGAAGTTAGAGGACAACTTGCTAAAGTTGGCTCTCTCCTTCTATCATGGGGGTCACAGGAATTTAACTCAAATTGTCAGGATTGGTACAAGCAAGCACCTTCACCCTCTGAGTCACCTTGCCAGCCCTCAGTACTTCTTTAATACAAATAAGTAAATAAGGGGTTGGGGATTCAGCTCAGTTGTAGAACGCTTGCCTACAAGCGCAAGGGCCTGGGTTCGGTCCTCAGCACCGAAAAAAAAAAAAAAAGACAAAATAACAAATAAGTAAATAAGTAAATAAATAAATACATAAATAAATAAATCTAACCTTAAAAAGGATGCTGGGCATAGTGGCACATGCCTTTAATCCCAGCACTCAGAGGCAGCCAGATCTCTGTGAGATCAAGGCCAGCCTGGTTCACATAGTGAATTCCAGGCCAGCTGGGACTACAGGGAGACCCCATCTCAAAACCAAAAAGGAAAGAAAGAAAATAGCTAATCTTAAAAAGGATTTTTTCCAGGCTTTGTGGTGCCTGCCTATCAGCCCAGCACTCAGGAGGTAGAGGCAGAAAACTTGTTGCAAGTTTAAGACCAGCCTGGTCTACATAGTGAGAACCTGTCTCAAAATAAGTAAGTAAATAAATAAATTATAAGAAAAAAACCTGGGGGTATATCAGTTCTAGAGTGTTTGCCTTGCATGTGCAAGGCCCTGGGTTCCAGCAAAAATAAATCAAAGGAAAAAAGATTTCCTAGACTCCCTGGTGACCTTAAACTCTGACAGCCATTTCCCCACAGTCTGATTCTACCTTTGAAGTTCATGTGCTCTGTGCTGACATTCTGTAGGTTTGGTGAGTTCCCTCAAGATGCAGGGAGGCTACTCCCTCCGGAGAGGAGGGCAGTCCCTCAGGCTACTTCCTGGCCTGACTGTTCCCCTCTGTATCTCTGGCCTGGAGCCTAGGCCCTGACATGCCCTACCTGACTTCCAGATGTCCAGGTGGGCATGCAGCACGTCCCCACCCAGGGGTGAGCGCTGGCGGAACTGCTCCTCTGACATGGCACACAGCTCCTTGCCTCCAAGCTCCTGGAAGGCCTTTCCTGCCGGGGGCAGCCGGTACTGATGCTCTGTCCACAGCAGCCACTTCTGAACATTGCTGGGGCTCCAGTCCCCAGGGTCTGGGTAAGAGACAGCATCACAGCTCAGGACTGCTGGTGGGCACTACCCCAAAGGTGACCCTCCCAGAGGGGCTAGAACACCCACGGGGCTTTGTGACCCAGGACCATGCTATCCCCTGGGTGGGGACAGCTAGGGTCTCAAAGAGCCCTGTGAAGGCAGACCCCAGAAAAGATGGAGAGGGAAGAGCTAGGGCCTAAACAACCTTGTTGTCTCTGTACCCCCATCACAGTCAGATCCTTCCAGCCCTCCACAGGGCTTTTCTGGGGACCCCAGCCTTGGAGGGGGCAATGACATTCAGCCAGAAACACCTGACTTTCCCCTGGAACTCTTGCCTTCCACAAAGTTCTCAAGGAAATGGAGTAAAAAGCCCACCAAAGAATCCATCTTAAAACCCAGTGCCCTGGGACTGGAGGGCGGGCTCAGAAGTTAAGAGCACCAGCTTCTTTTGCAAAGGACCTGGGTTTGGTTCCCAGCACCCACAGGACAACTAACAACCATCTGTAACTCTAGTTCCAGGGGATCGGATGCCCTCTTCTGTCCTCCATGGGCATTGCACTCATGGGTGGGCCAACATACATGTAGGCAAAACGCTCATACACATAAAATAAAAATAAAATAAAAAAACCAATGTCAACCCTCTGTCCTGGAATTTTACAGATGAGGAAACTGAGGCACAGGTTGGGAGGCGCCATCTCTTGCCCAGTGCTTAGCAAACAGTTGGGAACACAGCAGCTTCTCACTGTTCACGTATCAATTAAGTACCAAGACTCAGGTGGCTATGGCTCAGTTACAGGTGGTAGAGACCAAGACAGGTAGTCACTGGCTATGTGTGTCCCTGGAGAAGCTGCTGTCAGGGGAAGCCAGCAGGGCACACAGTTGGAGCCAGTCTGGGGCACGGTGTTTCCTCCAGGTGAACACCATGGTTCAAGCCAGTTTCCCAGCCAGGTGACCTGCAAGCTAGGCTGCTCCAGCTTCACGAGGCCGTTTTCTCCCTAAGGTCGATGCAGTTTGTTCTGAGAGCCTGTACCTCCCAAGTGGGGGAAGAAGGGCTGTGAGAAAGCCTCCTGGGGCAGGGCTGGCAGGAATGTAGCAAACTGAAGGAGAGCGGTATGGGCAGGAATTGCCTTGTAAGAGGACCCCCTGCCCCCAAAAGCACAGAAGGAGGGGGGGTGTCGACGGGCTGAGTGTGAGGGACACGAGACCCCACTTTCCCATGGGAAAGCTGTAGAAATGGAGGCCAGACCTGCCTCTTAGACAGAGGATGCACACAGGAGGTCGAGGCCCAGGAGCTAGACACCCACTGCATTGGTGTGGTGGGCACACACACTGTCTGCCTCTCAGTGTCCCCTCCTCCCTACCCGCTGACCAGGGCCACATCCAGCTGTTTGTTTGTGACCCATCAATGCCAACCCCACGCACAGAGGGACCTCTGTGTCCTTCTGAGTTCACTACTCAGTCTCCTAGGCAGGGGACAAAGTGTCAGTGGTTGAAGCCAGTCAACAGTTGTTTACTGAGTATCTATTATGTATCTCCTAGGAACTGGGGATATACAAATATAGGCTCAAGGGATAGTCCCTGGCATCTGGGACTATCCCCTTTAGTGGGGTACAGACCAAAAGTGAGGTGGGAAACAAACACACCCTCAGACCCTCAGATGGCAATTGTGTCATAAGAGCAGGAAATTTGGGGAAATGAGAGGTGGGCTATGGGAGACCCAGGTTCGGTTCCCAGCACGCACATAGTGGCTAACAACTGTCTGTAACTCCAGTTCCAGGGGAATCCAATGCCTTCTTCTGGCCTCTGCAGGTACTACATGCAGAGGTGTACTAACATCCATGCAGGAAAAACACTCATACACATAAAACTAAAACAAAAATCTAAATATCTATGGGGAAAGCATTCTATATTGAAGGACCAGCAGGTGCAACAACCTGAGGTGAGTGTTGTGGGCAAAGCAGACAGGTCATGTCACTGGAGCAGAGCAAGGGAGCCGGGGAAGGTGGGGAGTCAGACAGAGCAGAGCATAATTCACTTTATCTACTAAGTGAGGGCCCTGGGAAGGCGTGGTTGGGCAGGGCCCTGGTTCCAGCTGCTGTATAGACTGGGCTGCCCAAGGTGGTCAGAGTCCACCTAACAGATACCTGTGGAGGTGTCAGGGAGGGTCTCACCTGCTGTGATATTGAGCAGCTTGCAAGCCGTCTCGATGTCTTTCAGGACCTCGCCCACCACCATGGACTGCACCTGCTCCAGGGAGTGCTCATCCAGGCTGCTCCCAGGGGCCTGGCTGTCAATGACCGGGCATTGCTCAGGCTCCTCTGGTGGCTCCTCCCGCACGCTGGCCACAGGGACCTTGGCTCCCCAGTTGCCATCCTCAGGGTACAGCATATTAAAGTAGGAGAGGTAGAAGGCAGACAGGCCCTGCTCAGGAGTGGCCGGTGGGCTGGGGCTCCATTCCCGCTTCTCAGGACCCACCACCCCTGCTGCTGTCTTCTCCACACCCGTCCTCAGTGCCACATCTGGGGGCAGCAGCAAGCAGCCCGGGGACACGTCGCTTAGGCCTGGGCTGGCGCTGCCCATGCCTGTAACTGCTGGGACTGGTGGCTTTGTCTGCAGAAGTCAGAGAAAAAGGAAAGTTGGTCTAACTGATGTTATGGCTCCATGGGGACCGCTAAGCTGGTTATACGACTGGGGGCTCTGCGGGCTGCGCTCAGGAGAGGGTTGGGGGCTTCTGGGTCACTGGGCAGCAGGCAGTGAGTACAGGGCTGGCTGGAAAAGACAGCAAAGTGGATGAATGGGCAAGATGGGACATGGACAGCTGGGAGAGGCAGGTGGCACAGGCTGACTGGGAGCTTCTAACTTTCCTGCCACTACCTCTGAAGTGCTGAAAGGGGAGGTGTGTGGTTCACTGGGCAGTGAGGAGGCTCAGGGCACCCTGGCCCATTTCTGGTCATCTTATGGGATCCACTGTGTAGCCGGCCTTGGCCTCTGCCGGAAGTGCAAGGAAAAGAGCCCAGTTTGCAAACCCTCCTTTTTTTTCTTCAAGGGCCACTGCTCACCTATCTGAAACCTTTGTACAACTCATAAAATGATGCCCTTTCTCTCTGGCCAGCAGAACTTGATGAATGGAGCTCAGTGGCGTTTCAGCTCTCTCCCCATCCCCCACCTTGCTCAGTGCCCAGCTTTTCCAACCTTCTGTCACAGCCCTACAGTTTCCTGGGGTGGAAAAAAAAGCCGACAAGGGAGAAGAGGGTGTTGCCTTTGTTTGAGGGTTCCTTTAAGTGACAAGGAAAAAAAAGGTCAGGGTGGGTGGGGTGGGCAGGGACGGGGGGGTACTGGAGTTGCAGGGGACAGAGGCCAGGCCTGGAATCATTTCAAGACCTTCTGTGCAAACACTCGTGTGTGCTGTGGGCCCTTGGTGTTTACCCAGGCAGCACCCACAGCCTGCTCTGTGCCTGTGTTCCCACCCTGGCCTGTGCCTACACCCTACCCCGTAGGCAGCAACTCCACCCCAGGAGAGTCCCCCTTAGTCCCCAACCCTCCTCCTTCACCCCCCACTGGCCTCCTGCCCCATCCACGTCCCCAGCACCCCCCATGCCTGCCACGTTAGGACAGTCCTTGCCAGGTCCCTGGGCCCCATGCCCAGGTGGCAGCCTTTCCAAGAAGCAGGAGAACTTGCTTCCCAAGGCCTTCTGTTTGCTTGGCCTCTTCCGCGGGTGGGAGGGAAGGCAGGTGCTGGGGTCTGGGTAGTGTTGCAAGGGGCGCCGGTTGGGGGCAACACTGGCCAAGGTGCAATATAATGTCATATCCTTCCCGCATCTGATGAGTGGGCTCACAGCCCTGGTGCCCACAACCTCCCCAGGAGGGAGGCAGCCCAGGTTTGAGTCTCACCCCCTATTTTATTGATGGGGAAATCAAGGTGTAAAGAGGGTCTTCTAGACCCTTCTCCAGCAGAGAGCCCTGCCTCCGCTCTCAGCCCAGTTTCCAGCCTCCCCTTGCCCTGCTTCCCAATGCCCAGAGTCCTTTGCTCTTCAATATTTCCATGTTAAAAAATTACGCAGTGGAGGGAAGTGCAGTGGTCAGCCCCAGGGGCTGGCCTTACTGGTCAGGGGGCACAGGCTGAGCCTCTGGCAACCCCTTCAGGCAGCAACTGGGCTGGGGTGGAAGCAAAAGGTGCTATCATGCCAGGGTGCCGAGCCCACCGTTCCTGCCACCACAGCCTGAGGGACATGAACTCGTGAGGCTTATCTCACGGATGCAGAGAACGAGGTTCAGGATAGCATAACCTGACTGTGCATGGACTCTGCTCTTTGGCCCTGCTCTGGCCAGCCCCCTCTTCCTAGGGGTCCTTCCCACCTCCTGATTAGGCCCCTTCTTCCTCTAAGGTCCATTACTAGCTTCTGCTCCTGGACGCTCACCTCATCCCACTGTGAAGTTCATTTCCTTCCAACACCTTTTCACCAGACTCCTGTTGCTGCCTTGTTCCATCTCAATGGCTGTGGCTCAGTTGGGAGAGTGCTTGCCTACCCTGCACAAAGCCCTGGTTCTGTCTCTACATAACTGCGTCTGGTGGCACACACCTGTCATCTCATGACTCAGGAGGTGGAGGCAGAAGAATCAGAAGTTCAAGATCATCCTTGGCTACCTAGGCAGTTCAAGGCCAGCCAGAACTACATGAGACCCTGCTTTTACAAAAAAAAATTCTGAACCCACCTCCTACCCAGTCTGGATAATAGAGCTGGAGGGGTGGTGGGCACATAGCCAGGCTCTTTTGAGGCTGGCATTAATTGGTCCTTTGTAGTGGGCACAGACATGGCTATTTCATCCTGTGTTGCTTCCCTCTTTCCCAAGACTTTCTCATCCCAGGCTCCCCAAGCCCTCCTCCCCCAGGGAGCCCTCCCAACAAGTCCCCCTATGACTGCCCACCAGTGCCTGCCGACTCTATCCATGGGAAGATGGAAAAGGCTGAGGCTCTGAGAGTGGCAGGGAGGAGCCCAGGGGCACACAGGAGAACCAGGACAGGACCTGACTAGAGGCCACCTGACACTCAAGCCACCATTCCGTAGACCTGAGGCTCCAAAACAAACCCGGGGACTGCCAGGCCCAGATGGTTTGGACAGCAGGCCACCCTCCCTGTAACGTTCATCTGCCCAGGGCTGCAGTCTCCTGAGTGATCCCTCCAGTCCCCAAACCTTGCGATCTGATCTCAAGGATAAAGCCGCATGCCTGGATTAAGGCTCAGCAGGTCTGGCTTGGTTCTGCCCTAGAAAACCTGGCTTCCCTTCCAGACAAAAGAAAGTCTGGTGATAGCTGGTACAGACCAAGCTAGGAGGCAGGGCCACATCAGAGGGTTAGTGGCTTCGAGTCCATCTCTCAGCACACCTTGCTCCCCCAAGCAGGCAGGTGAGAAGAGTGGACAGAGGGACTAATGGTGGAGACGAGTTTCCTTCCCCTTGGGGCCACCCCTGCATCCTGTGTCCTTAGTTCTCACCCTGCAGGGAATGGACTTGCTTGGCAGGCTCTAACAAAAGGCCTGGTGGTCATGGGTTAGGAGCCCCTGCCCTCTACATCCTGCTGGGCTCCTGCTTCCAGATTGCACATCCTGCGGACAGTGGGGAGGCACGAATGTGCCGAACATCCACCTCAGTCCTGAGACCCAATTTCAGTGGCCCAGAGCCCCAGACCCAGCTTCATGCCCCATGAGTAGAACACTGATGGACAGAGAGTAGGGCAGGGTGGCAGTCTCTGTGACCCCTTGCTCAGCCCCTGTGGTCTCACTACAGGAGAGTGCCTGGCCCTGACAGTGTTTCCAGGCCTCCTCTGCACCCTTTAAATAGGCTGGAGTCAGGATATGGGGAGACACTAAACCTGGTCAAGAGCTCTGGAGCGTGGGCAGGTCCCACACACCTGCACCCCAACACCCCCATCCAGTCAGCACCTTGGAGAGAGCTGGTCCTGCCCAGGCCTCTGATTTGGCAGCAGGGCCTCTCTGGACCCATCTGCCGGCTCCAGCCTCTACCTGCCCTGCCACTCCCCTGCCCATCTCTACCCAAGTCCTGCCATCCTGGATGCCACCACCCGGCCCATTCCAATGGCTCTTTGAGCACACTGGGCCAGATCTCTGTACTGCCAGTCCTGCAATGCCCAGAGTGTTGGCCTCTCTCTGCCGAATAGGACACCTATTGCCCAAAAAAGGGTCCCAGGCTAGTTGTTATTGAGTAGACAGACCTGGGCCTCTCTCAAGCCCCAGGTGTTCAAAGGCAGGGAGGAGGGAGGCTGTCCCAGGGGCCTAGGCAGGTTTCTCCTAGGTCCCAAAACTATCCAGAGCACCAGCCAGGTGTCCCCTTCACCTGCTGCTTCGAGGTACCCCCTCTGGGACAAGCTAAAGACCAAACCAAATAAACTGTTCTTCTAGGCACTTCCAGCTGTCCCCAAAACACCTGACAGGCATAGGTGCTGTTACCTGCTCCAGCAAGAGGCCACATGTGCCCACATAGGGACTTGAACTTGAGGCCCAGCTCCTGGTCCAGCTCTTCAGATGGTGCTATTGGACCTGGTACCTCCCAACTCCCAGGGCTATCCCTCTGCTTTGCACAAGCCACCTGCTCCCCAAGTTCACACAGACCCCAACCCCACAACAGCATTAGCAGGGTCCAGGGGACACAGGGACCCACCTCAGCTCAATCATCCCTGTATTTGAATTCCCTCCAAAGTAGGGTAGGGACGAGGCTTGGGCTCTGCTTGGTTCTTAGATGTGATGCTCTGGGCGAGCCCTGGTCCACTCTGAGCTTCAGTTGCTTCTTTTCTCCGAGGGGAGGGGGTGAGGTCAACTCCTAATCTCTCGGGACTTTTGTGGGGTTTTTGTTGTTGTTGTTTTTGAAACAGGGTGTCAAGTAGCTGAGGCTGGCCTTGAACTCCTGATCCTCCTACTTCTATTTCCCAAGTGCTGGGATGACCCCATGCACCACCACACCCAGTTCCCAAGAACTTTTCTAGCCAGGCACGGACTAGGTTCTCTGACCCTCAGCCAAGTTTTGGGATTTGGGAGGAAGGTGGCAGAGAGATAGACTAGAGAGCTGGGCCTGGTGGGGCACCCTTGAGACACTATCTTAAAAAAAATGAGAGGGGGGAGTCTGGGGTTCCCCTTGCCATCAGATACAGGAAGAGGAGTGTGGCTAGGTGTCCCCAGTCATCTGACAGTTTGTGTTCACAGGTTCTGAAAACCTCCTTCTGACAGAGCGGTCACTACCAGCCTGTCCCCACTGATTCCCAACCTCCTAGAGTCAGTGAGACCCCAGCCCAGCTAAGCCTGGGTCTTGGAGTGAGTCCATGCCCCACCATGTCAAGTTCAATTTTGCCTGGCTTTCAGAATTTTCCAGAAACTGCCGTTTACCTCTTCACTCAACCTCTTGTGAGTGTGGACTGTGTGTAACTATATTCACCTCTGAGCCCCTTGGGAAGCTGTTTTGTACAGGGAGCCCCCAGGGTCTATGTGGCTGTGTCCTGTCCCCTTGCTGGCAGGTACAGGCCTCCCACTTTTGAGCCCTCTTTGGGTAGAGAGCCAAGTACAGCAGCTTCCT